AGTCGTTTATCTGGCAATCCAAACAATTAACTGCTTGCCTGCGTGCGCCCCTGTACGGGCGCAGGGTTGGGGGGAGCTGTAGCTTCTAAAGGGGAAAACCCCTCGGCGCTTGAGGCATCGAACAGCGGCATTACGAACAATAAAACACCAAGAGAATCAATGGGACTTTCAGCCTTTTGCTTGTCCCCCAACAAGGGAAGCGACTGTTTAAAGTGATATATGTCAGAGTTACCGATCGTGGGATGACTTCAAGACTGTAACAAGATAAGGAAGAAAAAACTCCAGTTTTTTTTATGTCTTTCAATCTCGGTATGGATTAGTTAATGTAGTCAATTACATCCAACGTTCGAATGCCTCTTTCAGCAATAGCTTTAAAGCTAGCTTAGTCTCGATATGAAACGGGCGTTTGCTCTTTGTAATAGGCTTTTCTGTTTCCTTGATTTGTAATTTATTTTCAAAACAACACAAACACACTTCTGTTATAGAAATGGTTAACAGTTGGGTTAGTGTTATGAATTAGGAACCTAGTTAGCGCAGGCAAACGTCTGGTTAATTAAAAAACCGTTACCACTCTGCGGTAATTTACGGTAATGTCTACACTATGTTGGGAGCGTTCGAAGCGTGCATCACGTTGTTGTGGTACTGGGACTCGTGTAGAAAAATAATTTTCATCTCCGGGCAATAATTGTGACTTGCCGAGAAGATTTATGGCCGACCCGACGTCTTCACCGTAAAGGTTAGGCCGAATTTGTCAAACATGACCAGTTCGGTAAACCGTACTTTCAGCTTTACACAAAGCAACCTTGCATCCTTGCTCTTTGAAATACAATTATACAGCAGTTTGTGTGGCAATGTTTGTGTTTTATGAGGAAGAGTTAAATAATGTGGACTTTTGGTTCGCCATTTAGATAACTTACAACGACGTCCAAACAGCTAAAGCAACCAATTATCGATAAGCTAGACAAATACGAGGTAGGAGATGCAACACGACATGGACATTTGAAAATACGACAAAAGTTGAAATAAAAACATTGCGAAATAAAGCGTAATCACAAGCAAAGACATAATAGTTTGGCTTAATAACAAAAATAAATAGACAATAGACCGGGTATATTGATTGGGCGTGCTAAGACAGCTATACGTAACGTTTGGCTGGGGAAAATTGGGCTATAAATGTGCCGGCAAAAGATGGTAACCCTCAAGGTGCCGGCGAAAAAAAATATCTTGTCATTGTGCCGGCAAAAGATGGTAGCCGGTCAATGTGCCGGCAAAAGATGGTAGCCCTCATGTGCAGTGTGTGTGCTTGAGTTTGTACGTATGTGTGAGTTATGGATGTTCCTCTATCGATGATAACGTGGAGGGCAAGAGCAATAACAACAAAGGAAGTGACGTAGAGAGCATGAGCAAGGGAAGCAACGTTTACCATCACCAGATGGGGGCGTGACCCGGCAAGATGGCGTTGCGTGACTCTGGCGTCAGAGGGTGACTTTCCGTTGTGGCGATAGTTTGGTTAGGAGTTTGTCAAGGGTATTGGTGTCAAAGCTATCTTAATCTTTGTGCTGTTGTAGTTATGTTAGGGATGTTGTAGTTATCTGGGGAAAAAGACATGGGGTGTTTGGGTTTGTTAATGTCGCATAATTGTTTTGTCATTCGTCGCATTTTTATTCTCCAAATTGTCGCATATCTTTCTTTTCTGGAATATGTCGCATTATTATTCTAGAATATGTCTGGTAGGTCGTCAGATTCTAGGATTTTTACATACTTGGTCTAAGATCTTTGGCTATTTGTATTTTTTAGTATAAGATCTTCGTTCATCTCATCTGAATTGTTTGAAGTAAGACCTTTGGACTTGTGTTTTAATTGATGATTGATCTTGAAATATTAATGTTTGTGGATCATCTTGAGATATTAATGTTGGTGGATCATTCGACGCGCTTCTATTTTAATTAATAGATGTAAATTACTCTTCATTTTGATTACGTTACTCATGCAGTTGTAATCTCAGCTATGCTACAACGCTGTTGTTATAGCTGTTGATATCTCATGTCATTAGCTGCACATTTCATGGTTTTTCAAATGTCACTAGCAGCTATGTCATGGTTATCAAAAGATATAGAGCTTACAAAACTATACATGAATAATGGAAGCAAATAGGGAGCTTTTGTGTATGAGATGAAGACATATTGTATTACCATATCTAGTGTTATTTTTTCCCTACACGAATACCAATATCTATCCTAACATCTACCCATACACCATACACTTATCCACACATCATATCAACACATCTTATTATACACCAATCCTTACATGTATACGTACACTTATCCATACACTTATCCATACGCCTATTTTTACTTTTATCCATAAACCTATGACCTACTTACACATCCATCAACACCCCTACCCCTACACATATCCCTACCCCTACACACACCCCTACCCCTACACATATCCCTACCCCTACGCACACCCCTACCCCTACACATATCCCTACCCCTACACATATCCCTACCCCTACACACACACCTACCCCTACACACACCCCGACCCCTACACACACCCCTACCCTACACACACCCCTACCCCTACACATATCCCTACGCCTATCCGTACACCTAAATCGGTTAACGTTATCCTCTTCAAACATCAAAGATGAATCAATGATTAAGATTTCCACTCGGCTAAAGCTATAGATTATCGAGCTGCTTCTTCCGTTTTTAGTTGAAAAGCTTGGATGAATTTAATCTGAACTGTTATAAAATTACAATTAAAACTACACAAACATGAGCCGAAACGAAACAAAATCAAATCCCCTCTTTGGTTTTCTTCCACACAGGCCACACACCTGTAACAGGTGGTTCAAATGTGGGGTGGGGGTGAGGCAGAGGACGGGTGGGGGTGGGGAGGGGGTATTGAGTAGAAAACAAAGAAGACAGACGGACGATAAAAGGGGCGTGTCCCTGTCAACCCTAACAAGTCTATTAACCCGGGATGGAGTACCGGGTTGTTTACGGTCTACATAATAGTCCGGCATCGATTTCAACATTTCTTTCTTTTACTTTACGGTAAAACTCCGTGTGGTTGTTTTCAAGTAGGGAGGGAGTATAGAGTTGCGGGGGTGTTGTTGGGAGGGAACAGAGAGGTGGGAGGGATGAGGTCTTGACCCCTACTTGGGTCTCGACCCCTACCGATAGATGTGACCTTAACGGGTTCTTCAACATGGGATTAACGATGACGTAAAGGGATTTAAATAGATTAAATATATGTGGTCGGCGTGTAGAGCTCGCTACCACTAACACGAGAGTCTAAAGCTCAAACCCCAGATTTGATTGGGGAAATAATATGGCTATCTTAAAGCAATGCAGGACATGTTTATAACCCGTGGTTGGTGCTAAACAAGGATTCACTCACGCGTAACAATGTTAATACTGTTACCTTTTATCTCTCTAGTTAGCGAACTAAACCTCACTGAACATAACTGAACATGCATACTACTATACAATTATTTGTAACTTTACATTAATTTCCGCAGTCATTTTTCTTCCAATGGTCATTGCTTTTTTTTTTTCGCCAAGCTTTATTTACTTATCTCACTTTCAACCCGAGGTTTCTCGTGATTCAATTTTTTTTCTCGTATTTTACAGCTCAGTGACTTGTATTTCGAAAATTTCGTGTGTTAAGGCACTCGTATGTCGATGTACCACTGTGCGCTTGTTGTGGTGACGCAAAATTTGACAAGATAGGTCCAACAGAAAGGAGAAAATATAGAGGTTAGGCAATAGCCTTAGATCAAGCAGTTGAGAATAGGTAGGCACTAATGAGATGCGAGATGATGACTGGTCACGTGAGACGGTCAGCTGACCAAGTGTAAGGATTTAACAGCTGTTCAGAGTTAGGTAGACGGTCAAAGATAGAGAAAGGTGTTGGTCGAGTATTAGAAGGGAGTTGAAAATAGATATAGTTAAGACTAGGAGAGAGTCAACGTCAACCCTCCACCACCACACTTAAGTCAACCCTCCACCACCACACTTGTCTTAAGTCAACCCTCCACCACCACACTTAAGTCAACCCTCCACCACCACACTTGTCTTAAGTCAACCCTCCACCACCACACTTGTCTTAAGTCAACCCTCCACCACCACACTTGACTTAAGTCAACCCACCACCACCACACTTGTCTTAAGTCAACCCTCCACCACCACACTTGTCTTAAGTCAACCCTCCACCACCACACTTGACTTAAGTCAACCCTCCACCACCACCCTTGTCTTAAGTCAATACGATATCAAAACCTGTTCACATAAATTAACAGAGGTTAAAAAACGTGAGTTTTACCGTAGAGCATCTACACCGTTAAGTCCCCTCTGTCTCAAGTTAAGATATTGACGCCGTTCTAATAGAAGCGTCTTATGATTCAATTAGTTCTCAATTTATGGCGGCGGTTGGGTTTAGACTTTGTATGGGGGCTTTCATCAGGGGAAATTTATATGGATAAACTAGACAATGCATTTTCCTTTAAATATGTCTTAAAGCCTTATACGTTAGGCCCATATATTTGTAAGAATTGTATCTATATTTACTCGTATATATATATATATATGTATATATATATATATATATATATATATATATATATATAAATATATATATATATATATATATATATATATATATATATATATATATATATATATATATATATATATATATATATATATGATAATATAAGTGATATTTTTCAAGCCTATAGACTATATATATAATTCATATGTTTCAAGCCTATAGACTACAAGATATTTCCTGTACTTGTGTGTGTGTATGTTTATGTTTACATGTACTGTACAACGTGTCACAAGTCCAAGTCCCAAGTTTACACCCTGACCTACTGGCTCAGGTCGTAGTAGTGCCGTACGTCCCCACTTCCCTCCCCCCCCACTCCCCCCCCCCCCCCCCCCCCGCCGCTTGTGTACACGGTTCCATAGCCTGGATGTAGTTAAATGGGCAGACGACTTGGGCTACGATATAAAACCATCTCGCCCCAGGGTGCCCATCATCGCATTCCGCCTCCGCCACTGGGTGCCCAACAACTGGCACCTGGATGCCGACCATCTCCCCCTGGGTGCCTACCATCTCCCCCTATTTGCCTACCATCTCCCCTTAGGTGCCTACCATCTCCCCCTGGGTACTTACCATCTCCCCCTGGGTGCCTACCATCTCCCCCTGGGTGCCTACCATCTCCCCCTGGGTGCCTACCATCTCCCCCTGGGTGCCTACCATCTCCCCCTGAGTGCCTACCATCTCGCCCTGGGTGCCTACCATCTCCCCCTGGGTGCCTACGGGTGCCTACCATCTCCCCCTGTGTGTCTACCATCTCCCCCTGGGTGCCTACCATCTCCCCCTGGGTGCCTACCATCTCCCCCTGGGTGCCTACCATCTCCCCCTGGGTGCCTACCATCTCCCCCTGGGTGCCTACCATCTCGCCCTGGGTGCCTACCATCTCCCCCTGGGTGCCTACGGGTGCCTACCATCTCCCCCTGGGTGCCTACCATCTCGCCCTGGGTGCCTACCATCTCCCCCTGGGTGCCTACGGGTGCCTACCATCTCCCCCTATTTGCCTACCATCTCCCCCTATTTGCCTACCATCTCCCCCTGTGTGTCTACCATCTCCCCCTGTGTGTCTACCATCTCCCCCTGTGTGTCTACCATCTCCCCCTGGGTGCCTACCATCTCCCCCTGTGTGTCTACCATCTCCCCCTGGGTGCCTACGGGTGCCTACCATCTCCCCCTGGGTGCCTACCATCTCCCCCTGGGTGCTTACCATCTCTCCCTGGGTGCCTACCATCTCTCCCTGGGTGCCTACCATCTCCCCCTGGGTGCCTACCATCTCCCCCTGGGTGCCTACCATCTCCCCCTGGGTGCCTACCATCTCCCCCTGGGTGCCTACCATCTCCCTCTGCGGAGCTACCATCTCCCTCTGGGTGCCTATGGGTGCCTACCATCTCCCCTGTGGTCCACTATCTCGCGCGAGACTGTTCCTTGTCACACGAACATATGCCACTGATGAAAAATGATAATTTTATCGGTTTATAATAAAAGATGGTTATTTCAACATCGCCTGTATCATGTGATCTCCCTCAATAAAACTTGTGCGGAGAGGGGGTGAATTGAGAATCAGTTTTTTTTAGGTCTCCTGTTTCACGCATGCGCAATGAAGAAGCGAATTTAATTTTCTAAACAATTAATTTTGACGGTTTTAAATAGGCGTAATTTGATTTCAATATGATCCTAAAAATGTTGACAAAGTTTGATCCAAGAGTTCGCTAGACGCTAAAGTTGATGTTAGTTTAGATGCTGTTTCTCTGCCTACAGAAGTGGATGGAACAAAACCTCTACGGATGGGTCTGTATACATTCGTAATTGCTCTTTAAATTAATTATTGTCTTACAAGAGGAGCATTGTGTCTGTGTGTTTGTTTGTGTGTCTGTGTGTCTTACTTAACACCTTACAAACACAGTGATTACAGAATATTTGAATTAGAAATAAACACAACCTACCTCCCCCCAATTAAAGTTTTAAGGTACGAGATTTTTTTCTTCACGACCTGCACGATACAGCAGATGAAGTAGAGTTCATCTGTTTCTGTGACCAAGACATATAAAAGGATAATGTGGTCAGGCTAACCTACTTAGATTTCCCTACCGTGGGTCAGACACACACCTTAGAGAAGGGTTTGAGCAGTGGTGTAGGCAGGGGGGGGTTAGGGGGGGTCATAACCCTCCCCCCCCCATAGACCCCTCGGTATATATAAAAAGTATGAGGGGGGGTGCAAATCGAAAGTTTGAGGGGGGGGGGGGGTGCAAATCGAAAGTTTGAGGGGGGGTGCAAATCGAAAGTTTGTCCCCGGGTAAAAATTGGAACCCCCCCCCTCTTGAGACGATCCTGGCTACGCCACTGGGTTTGAGAAATGGTAGTTAAACAAAGTATCTGAAGGCGTAACTTGGATTAGCTTCCGACAGTCTTGATGAATCTCACTATGTTGATGAATCTCATTATGTTGATGATTCTCAATATGTTGATGAATCTCAGTATGTTGATGAATCTCAATATGTTGATGAATCTCAGTATGTTGATGAATCTCACTATGTTAAGTTGCCTAACCCGGAGCTATGTACTCGAGGGGACACCTCAAGCACACATGTAGGCACCCTCACGTCATCCCCGCCCTCAAACTCTTCTTATCCCTTGTCCCTACCCTGGACTAGAACCTCCACTACATCAAAACACCTCCACCGTAATATCCTACTACTGTAAGACTACCCCCTTCCCTCCTGCACACATCTGGTCTATTTTCTCTACATGACACACCCATTAAACTATTAGTAACCCCCTACCCACCCTCACTAACCCCTGCACGCTCCCCCACCCCTTTCCATAATCCGGACAACCCCCATCCTCCCTGTTACCCCCCCCCCCCTACCCCTATATCCCCTTAACATAACCCCTTACACTCCGTAAACCCCTTGTCGCATGAACCACTTATCTAAGTCGATGTGAAGTCAACTATCTCACAAGAAAATCATTTTTCTACTCAGCGGTTCTCGCGCTATTTTACTCTAAGTTTTGGTCACATACCCGTAAAGGTAAAGTTCTTTTTTGAACCTGACGGTCCCTGAAGCTAGTGAAATAGAGTTCACCTGTTTCTGTGACCTCGGCGTATAGAGGGTTAGTGTGGTCAGCACTATTCCAGATCGCCTTTACTTTCCCTAGCTTTGACTCGGGCACTTACTGTGGACTTGAACCTGGATTTGAACTCAGGACATTGGGTTAGCTCTACCATTCGGCCAAGCCGTCCCACAACTACCCATACGACGTCATAATTTTTTTTTCTTGGAACACTGTCTATCTGACGTCTTTTGCTTTGTGTCCGTACCTGACATCCGCTGTCGACGTCCATTTCTTGACGTCCATTTCTTGACGTCTATCAGGTACAGTCTAATTTCTCTACGCAAAAAGTGAACCATACCCCAAGCTAAAAATAGCACTATGTTAATCATAATCCTATCCATAACCAAACACACATAACGTGAGCCTTATCCCTAACTCATATTGGACATTAGCTTTATGCTAACTTCATTTATGCAATTAATTAACTATTTGATTAAAATTGTACATACATAATATGTATTTTTGTGACATGAATTCGACAGCTCCCTTTGCCAGGAAGATGAGAATCCCTGTAGTTTGTGATCCACGTAGTGCTGTAAGAATGAAGGTCTCCAAACATAATCTGACAAATTCAACTCCGATTTGAGTACAACACTTCAAAAAATATCTTCAATTGTTGCCATCCTTGCGATAAATGAACGTACGTTCGGGGGTGGGGACGGGGGTCGAGGGGTCGTTTATAAAGCCATTTTTTTTACATCCACAAATCCAACAAGATAGTCACCCGAACAATCAGACACGCTTAGCAACCACGCTTAGCAGCGAAATCGAGATCGACGCACGCGCCGCTAGTAAAATAAATTGCTTGTTACCAATTATTAGAAAATGACGACGGTTTATTTCGCTATTAAATTCAAAAGTCTCTTTAGCGTGTGTCAGATACGAGGCGCATCCTATTGAGAAACAGCGCCGCACTGAGGAAAAACATATTGATAAAGACAGTGCCAATTAACTTTTGTCCCTGTCAACATCGGAAGTGATTACCGCGCCATCTTGGCCGCACTGCGCGCGCACGACTGAAACAATCCAACCCCGGAGTCGGCGAACTCAGGGACTTAAATGGCGGGAAGTTTAACGACCGAAAGTTAGCGTCGAGTGATCTTGAACAGAAATGTCGCAGAAGAGGACAAAAATGTCGTGTTTCAAAAACACGCGGGAGCCAGCCGACGAGATCGTATGATTATCTCACTTGATTTTTCAAGGCTATTAACTCAGTTTATTACTCAAGATTTTTGTCGAAAATTGATTTTTTTTAATTTTCTACAAAGGGAGAGTCCAGGAGTATAAAAAAACGAAAACAAAAATACACGCGTTGGGTTAGCAGGCGTAGCGACATCCTTACCTTGGGTTTGAAGACGGTTGGACCACTTGTCTCCACTTGATCTGTTTTTTCGCGGTAATTTTCGCGTCGATTGTCGGGGGTGTAGCATCGCTGCCACCACTGGTAGAGAGGGGATACAAGGGCGGCGATAATTTGTACCCACTTAAACAATTAGCCTGGAGTTATTTTAGTTTTGTCAAGCAGGAGCAGCCGTTTGTAGAAGAAAAATAAAACGGCATTGAAATTACGAGTCTTGAAAAATAATGCCGTTTTCGCTACGTATCATGGAAAAATGGAATAGGTGTAACCTAGGGTATTCGGACCACAGGTGTCGTCTGCTAAATAAAGAGGCGGTTACGATCATTTGTTCTAGACACACCCGCACTGAAGTAGCCAAACCAGAATCAGAGCACAAAATGTGCGACATCAAACCGAGGTCTTCTTAAAATGTTAATAGAATTCGCAAAACTTTGCAGTTGAAAATGATAAAGTTAAAATAATTATATTTAATAATTTAAATTTAAATAATTGATATTTATCATTTTTCCGAGAAAATTATGGTTTATACTTTTAAAAAAAAACTATTAAAAAACAAAACTAATGATTTAAAAAAGCTCACATCGACTTTAAATCGAACTGTTTCCGTTGGTTTGTAAAGTGGTTTCAGTTGGAATCACGAAAAAAAAAATGCTTGGGACTGTGTTGATATTGACCTAAGTTTTAAAATAAAATAACTGAATGGTCCTTTATTAAGTATTTAAACCACCAGAGGGAAAATGTACATTTAACTCCAACAAAATGTCAGCAATCTTTCGTGTACAAACTTATCAACTTCAAGACTTCAAGCTAAACTTGATGTAGGTTAACTTTCTTAACTTTCTAACAAGATTATATTCTTTTCTAATAGTCAAACTTCACTTTTCAAAACAACGATAGTATTCTACAATAAGGGTCATTTTTTTTTTTTTTTACAATTCTCGCAGTTGTTCCCTATAAAACTGACACCAAAGGCAACAACTTGGCAGAAATGTGTTTTATTTCTTTGGTTTAACAACAAAAAAAAAAGGAATCCCGGTGCCGCACACAAAAAAAGATTGGAGTCTTTAACTTGAGTCGCAGACGACCAACAGCTAATCATGGCGGATCAGTGTTTACATCTGGCTTACCGGAAGTGTGCTGACGGCGCCATCCCGAGTCACGAGCGCCAAACATGCGAGTGTCCTTAGTTCCAGGAGGGAGTGGGCAGCGTGGAGGAAGTCGTGTGATCGCCGCGCCAGACTCGGATCTGCTGCGGCGAGCAGACGATTGGGTTGTCGCGCTCGCCTGCAAATATTAGCCGAGCTGGAACTGTGGGCTGGAGCTAAGACCACCAGAAATTAGTCATTTGCTTCGGGGAGCGGCAACGTCGGCCTGAGCTCAACGACTAAGCTCCCAATCTTCTGAGTTTCGTATCTGAATCTCTCCAGGCCCATTAGGGTGTGCAAGACTCACGTCTGCTGTTTGGTGGGTCTTACTGGCGCGGTACGGGGGAGAGGAATGGAGTTAAGCCCGGGGGGGGGGGGGGAGTGAGGAACGATACTTTGTTAGTGATGTAACCTTTGACTGGGCGGGTGGAGGCGGAGTCAGGGGGGGTGGAGAACAAAAAGTGGGATATTATCTTAAGAAACTCGCTACATCAGGGTTAATAAATGGTCAGAAAAGGGTTAATAGATGATAGTCAAATATGAAGGAAATATTCAGTTGAAAGACGAACTATTTCCTGTCAAGTTGATAAATAAAAAAAATGTGGGTAAGTTGACAAGATGATGAAAATCGATAGCATGTGGTTATGACTTTAGTTGTTAAGTTCAAGAGTTTTAAAGATGGACCATTTAATATATATATAAGATCTAATGAAATAACAAACATGACGCTAAAGGAGTACAAATAACACAGGAAAGGCCAAGGTTGACTTGGAGGCGCAGGGCACACACAAAATAATATATACAACTGATAAAAGCCGGATTGTCTGCAAAAGAAAGTTGT